GCTGAAGTGGAGTTATTATAAACACTGCATTCGATGTCAGCTTGACTGACGTGATGATTTAGCACGTTGTGTCAAAATATGAACGCCATCCTCGACCAGTTAAACTGCACAGTAGAATGCAGTGAAGCCAGTAGACACCCACTGCTGTTGGGTTTGTTTGGATCTTATGCTGAGCTCCAACATTTCTGGATTCACTCATTTTTTATTGAGTTCTTATTTATTGAATTATCAGACATGTCTTTCATAAGGTTGAGGGAAACTTACTGTGAAGAAACCACCCCAATAAACTTTGGAGCTGTATAATCAGCTGCTTCTCAGACTCAAACTTGACTGCAGCTGGAGATGGGTGTGGTATTTGAACCAGCTCTCCACCTGCTGTAGGTTCTGGTCAGAGCCTCCACCGGCAACACAAGCTGTAGACGATAACGGTGCCATTAGGCCACTTTAACTCTCATCAGTGGATTTTTTTTTTGTTTGTTTTATGGCTGTGAAGCCAGAAGGAGCTTGTTTGAATGCAACATGATCGGCTGTAATAATCTCCCGTGAGACAATGAGAAAGACGTGTAATAGCATAAAGAGGACACAGCAACGAGAGGAGGGACAAAAGCAGATGGAAATCCAAACTGTCTGCATCTCATTTCAAGTCTTAATTTGTATCTGTATCGAGTGTAATGCTCGTGTGTTTCTGTAAGTGCAGTAAACATGACGGTGCGTAACTGAAGGTGGAGAGGGAAGCCGGCGAGCTACAACTAGAAGATAAAAGAGAGCTGCTAATGTTTTGTGGCCTCTTTCCTGTAAAGTTGTGTGTGTCTGTGTGCACGAGTGAAATGCATGTGACTGCATTTTGCGCAGTTGTGTTTCCTGTTGTTTACCTTGGGAGCAAATTCCACGCAGGGTAGGGAATTATGACTGGAATGGCTCTTGCAATCTATGCCTGGCACATCGGCGCTCACACTTCGGAAAGTAGGAAGCACTTTGTTAAACTGGTAAATTAAGATTTGCATGCAAACGTATCATGGCTGGAACTGTTTGCAGTCATGTGATATTTAGTTTGGAGTAATGCTGCAGCCTGAGGTGTTTCCTGTCTTTGTCCCAGCATTTGGGCTGGTTATGCAGTGAGAGAGCAGTCTGTGGCAGAGGTCACACAGACTTTTATTTTGGTGTTGGTTGGACTTCTGTTCAGTAATGACTTTGCAACTGTGCTCTACCTGGATATGTGTGATTTTTCATAATCATTAGCTGCTTCTCATCTGTATTATTTTTGTAAGAAATTGGCTGTTAACTATGAGTGTCACAGTAGTGTAAAAGCTGTGGTGACTGTGTCACACATTGAGTTTGTTATTTAAATATATGCAAAGTGTCTGAAAATCTCACGCCTGTGTGTGCTGATATTACTGAATCATTTACCTGATAAGGATGGACCGCTGATAGCATGTATCAATAACCATCATTAGAACTGTTTAACTGACTGACCTGTAATCATGTCAGCGTGCTGGATACTTTTTCACACTTCAAGTTTCGTCATTTGGAGCTGACACATAAATCATACTTTCACATACTCACTTGTACGAATAAGTGCTGCCAGCTTGCCATCACCTGTCATACGATGCCTGTTAAATCCTGTCGCTAGCACCGATTGGAAGATTTGCAGACTGTGTCACCTGGAGCCAGCTCAGGGTTGTTAGATCAGTGGTCAAAGTGATGGCAGTAGCTAGCCAGTCAGTGACA